ACTAAAAATAAACAAATTCACCAGGCGCAGTGGCTCACGCCTGTAATCCCAGCACTTTAGGAGACTGAGGCGGGCAGATCACCTGAGATCAAAAGTTCGAGACCAGCCTGGCCAACAGGGTGACTGCCTGCATTCAACTGCCTCAATCACCCCCTTCCCCAGCCCCTGACACCCCCAATCCTACTTTCTGTCTCTATGAATCTGATGACTCTAGGGACCTCCTAACAGTGGAATCACACAGGATTTGTCCTTTCGTGCCTGGCTTCTCTCACCGTGTGGGATCTCCTCGAGGTTCATCTGTGTGGAAGCATGCAGCCATACATTTTTTTATGCCATGAATGTTTATTATTATTTTTAATTTTTTTTTATTTTTTGAGGCAGAGTCTCACTCTGTTGCACCCAGGTTGGAGTGCAGTGGCACTATCTCTGCTCACTGCATCCTCAGGGCCAGCTTCCATGCGTCTTTAACACGTATGACACCGAATATGGGACAGCAAAGATTTGGGACCTACCAGTGGCTTGATATCCACACATGAAATTTCCTTGTTTGCTATGTCCACAGTTAAGGTAGACATGGTGGCTCTCTTTAAGCTGCAAGGCAATGGAACCTGTGTTATTAAAGAACAGCACCCTTGTAAACAACACGGCTGCATTTCGTTCATCCTTTCATCCATTCAATCACCCATGCATCCATCCATCCATCTCATCCATCTTTCCATCCATTCATTCCACCCACCCATTCATCCATCCATCTCATCCATCCATTCATCCATCCATCCATTCATCCATCCATCTCATCCATCCATTCATTCCACCCACCCATTCGTCCATCCATCAACCTATCCACCCTTCCATTTCTCTACCCATCCACTCATCCATCTACCCATTTATCCATCCATTCCATCCACCCACCCATCCATCCATCCATCCATCCATCCACTCATCCATCTATCCATTTATGCATCCATCCATCCACCCATCCATCCATCTCATCCATCCTTCCATCCATTCATTCCACCCACCCATCTATCCATCCATCCATCCACCCATCCATCTCTCTATCCAACCACTCATCTATCTACCCATTTATCTATCTATCCATTCCATCCACCCACCCATCCATTCATCCATTCACTCATCCATCTATCCATCCATCCATCCATCCATTCATCCATCCATCCATCCATCCATCCATCCACCCATCCAGCCAACCATCCATCCATCTCTCTATCCATCTATCCACTCATCTATCTACCCATTTATCCATCTGATATGGTTTGGTTCTATGTCCCCACCCAAATCTCATCTTAAATTGTAATCCTCACATGTCAGGGGAGGGACCTGATGGGAGGTGATTGGATCATGGAGATAGTTTCCCCCTTGGTGTTCTTGTGATAGTCAGTGAATTCTCACAATATCTGATAGTTTAAAAGTGTATGGGACTGGCCTGGGTGGCTCATGCCTGTAATCTCAGAACTTTGGGAGGCCGAGGTGGGTGGATCACCTAAGGTAAGGAGTTCAAGACCAGCCTGGCCAACATGGTGAAACCCTGTCTCTACTACTAATACAAAAATTAGCCAGGCATGGTGGCATGTGCCTGTAACCCCAGCTACTTGGGAGGCCAAGGCAAAAGAATGGCTTGAACTCAGGAAGTGAAGGTTGCAGTGACCGGTGATCACACTGCTGCACTCTAGCCTAGGCGACAGAGTGAAACTGTGTCTCAAAAAAAAAAAAAAAAAAAGGTATGGGCCGGGTGCAGTGGTTCACGCCTGTAATCCCAGCACTTTGGGAGGCCGAGGCGGGCAGATCACGAGGTCAGGAGATCGAGACCATCCTCACTAACATGGTGAAACCCCGTCTCTACTAAAAATACAAAACAAAATTAGCCAGGCGTGGTGGTGCCTGTAGTCCCAGCTACTCGGGAGGCTGAGGCAGGAGAATGGCGTAAACCCGGGAGGCGGAGCTTGCAGTGAGCTGAGATTACACCACTGCACTTCGGCCTGGGCGACAGAGTGAGACTCCATCTCAAAAAAAAAAAAAAAAAAAAAGAGTTCAAGACCAGTCTGGCTACTATTGTGAAACTCTATTTCTATTAAAAATACAAAAAAAAAAAGCCAGGCGTGGTGGCACACACCTGTAGTCCCAGCTACAATCTCGGCTCACTGCAAGCTCTGCCTCCTGGGTTCAAGCAGTTCTGCCAAAGCCTCCTGAATAGCTGGGATTACAGGCACACACCACCTTGCCCAGCTAATTTTTGTATTTTTAGTAAAGATGGGTTTCACCATGTTGGCCAGGCTGGTCTCGAACTCCTGACCTCGTCATCTGCCTACCGTGGCCTCCCAAGGTGTTGGGATTACCGGTGTGAGCCACCGCGCCCGGCCCCTGCTTTCTATTCTTTTGGATGGATGGCAGTGGGTTTGTTGGAGCAAATGGTAACTCCATGTTTCAGTGTTTTGAGGGACCGCCATTCGTAAAGTGTTTTTGTTGTTGTTTTGTTGTTTTTGAGATGGAGTCTCACTGTGTTGCCCAGGCTGGAGTGCAGTGGTACCATCTCGGCTCACTGCAACCTCCGCCTCCTGGGTTCAAGCCATTCTCATGCCTCAGCCTCCTGAGTAGCTAGGATTACAGGTGCCCACCACTACACTTGGCTCTTTTTTTTTTTTTTTTTTGAGACAGAGTTTCACTCTTGTCGCCTAGGCTAGAGTGCAACGGCATGATCTCGGCTCACTGCAACCTCCGCCTCCTGGGTTCAAGCAGTTCTCCTGCCTCAGCCTCCCGAGTAGCTGAAATTAGAGGTGCCTGCCATTACACCTAGCTATTTTTTTTTTTTTTTTTTTGTATTTAGTAGAGATGGGGTTTCACCATGTTGGCTAGGCTGGTTTCCAACTCCTGACCTCAGGGGATCCACCCACCTTGGCCTCCCAAAGTGCTGGGATTCCAGGCGTGAGCCACCACGCCCGGCTCTTGTGAAGTGTTTTAATCACCTTGTTTTATTGTTCTAAAGCTGGGGTCTGATCTCAGCCCTGCTTCTGTTCGCTCCTGCTAAGGGAACCCCTGTAGGCAGCCCGGTCCCCACCTCTGCCGGGAGACAACATACCTGGAAGTGAAGTTGAAGTCAGTCCTGCCCCAGTGCTGCTGCTGTTTTAAGTAAATATCCTGTGGGGTCAAGAGAGAAAATCCCAAGTACATCTGTGGAACACCACGGGCATCCCCCAACTCAGGACATTGGGAGAGATGGGGTGTTGGAGGGGACGTGAGGAGACAAACCTGGAAGCCTCTTAGTCCCACTCTGTTTTTTTTTTTTTTTTTTTTTTTT